CCCCCCTTTTTTATTTCAAAATTGAAGTTATCATATGACAAATATTCAGTGGACAAAGTTTGAACAAAAATCTATTGTCACTTTTATTTCAGAGGAATTACCTTAACGAACAAATTTGGCCGGTCCCCAGCGACTTCGTTAAATCGAGGTTCCACTGTACCTCCAGAGGTAGTCCTCTTTTTCCGTTCGGAACGGAACGGCGGAAATTTCCTTACCACTTGGTAAATGTTCCAGTTTCCAGTCTCATCAGCCGAAAACAATTACGAGAAATCGAATTGCAAATGGTAAGCGTCATCTCGTTCGGTTGGTTTGCTGATTTTGGGAAAACCCTTACCCTTTATTCGACGGTCATCCCAACCGGTTCATTCTGACAAATGGTAAGCGCCCCTATACGCCTTCATATCATCTGCTTAACAAATTGATGTCAGTTTTTTATGCGTCTGTCCTCTTATTGATGATAAATTGCGTCCTAACATTGTCAAAGTGGCTGTGGAACCACGAGCCGCAGGCGAGTGGTTCCGCAGTAAACTTTGACAATGTTATGACGAAATTTATCATCATTAAGAGGACAGACGCATAAAAAAGCTGACGTCAAATTGTTTTATTACCATAACAAGACCTCAAAATGGTCAAATGCCGGGAATACATGAGGACAAAAGACACCGTAAACTTGCCGTAAATAAAGATAAGTGAATTTTATTGAAAATGACGCGAACATTGTCAATAGTTTTCTCGCTTTTTGATTGGCTACTTAAAAAAGTCCATAAAATCTCATTGGTTAAAAAGTTGACAGTTCAGACAGCTGAAAGTTGAACTTGAAAGCTTGCATAAATTAAAATTTAATCCGTCTGTACTCTTATTGACGATAAAAATGAGCCAATCAGCGCGCAAGAAATTAGACAGTTATTGTAAAAAAAGAGTTTTGTGTATGACGAAATGTTTCCTGAGATATCCTTAATATAATGAGAAATAGAATGGGTCCCAACGCCGTTCCCTGGGGTACACCGGACAAAACGGAAGTCCATGTCGAGTAGTGTTCTCGCGGAACGACTCGCTGGTATCGATTGGTTAGGAAGCATCTAAGCCAAGACAAGAGTGCAGGGTCCTCGGATACCTTATGCTTGAATCTTGGTAAAAAGGCGTTCATGTGGCACCGCGTGAGTCAAAAGATTTTGAAAGGTCTGAAAAAAAATGACATCAGTTGTCAAACCTTTGTTTCTCTCACCGGCCCAATCATGAAACGAAGATCATTGTAATAGCTGCGACAGACAAGATTTCCCTTTCAGGAAGCCAAATTGCCCTGGAATGAAGATCTCGTTAGATATGCAGAACTGAACAAGATGCTGTCCAACTACTATTATTTCACACACTTTGCACCCTACGGAAGTTAGTGAGACAGAACGGTACATGCAGTTCTCGCGAAGTGATGGAGCCAGAGCTAAGTGATGGAGACAGAGTACCAGCGCATTTCTTTAAATTACTTAAGTTTTCAATTGATCATATACTTAATTATTGCAAGGAGATAAACTAGAAAGGGTAACCTCTTTTATCTCCTTTTCACTCTTTCTTTGAAATTGCGAATAAACAATTATTACCATTACCATTATCATTACTATTATTATCATCATCATTATCATAACATCTACATGGTGCCAGAACAGCTCAAACAAATTGATGCAAGACACATAACTTTGACGACACAGAACGACTTTCTGAGATTCCCAAAGTAAAGCTAAAGCAGTTTCTGTCGACGCCGGACAAAGCTAAATATGATACTTGGTAACAAGCCACATAACTTTTACAACACAGTCTTAATCTAACAACCGGGCCCAGCATCACAATATAGAATGCAAGTAATCAACATGACTTGGTCCTTGCAGAACGAATAACTAAAGAGATAAACTATATCCTAAAATACAAATGAGGCAAAACTAACTGAATGTAAAGTACATGGCAAATTACGGAGGTGTCAAACTCTACAAAACGACAGATAATAGCTGCAACCGACCGTCCAAAAATTTGCACAGTCTTCCTGGTATCACAGCAACATAACGTGGCCTTCAGAAACAAGTGAGGAGCAAATTAGAAGGTCGAAAACACTGAAATTCAAAAGAGAATGGCAGATGTAGAAATGTCACTAGCCGTAGCCGGTTTCCGGGAAGCCCAGCCTCGTGGGCTTGTCACCCCAATCTACGTTGTTCTCACGTCTGATGTCACGTGGCTTAAAGCAACAACGTGGCTTAAAGCAATGGTTGGAAGAGTATAAACAATGGTGTGACTACGGGCGGATTTTTTTGACTCGCGCTTCGCGCTCTTGTATCGCGTTTTGCGCTCTGCCCCGCGAACCCACCTGTTTTGCAAGCTAACGCGTTGACTAAAAGTCTGCTCGCCCGAACTGAAAGTTCAAAGATTCATCTTCATTGAAGCTAACCGTTACCACCGCCAGAAAACATCCCGCCGTCATTATTGAGTAATATCCCACATAGAACCCAAGTTCTCTTATTGGCTACGCAATCTATTCTGTTCCAGCAAAATGACGGTCACTTCTTTGAGTAGGTTTACACTAAAACAATTAGATTATTCGCTCTGAAGTTCTACGTGCAATATCATAGAAATTTCGAGCTCATAATTCAGTTGTTAAGTACAAAAGTCATTCAGACATTAGGTGTACAAAATAGCGGTCATGCAGGCGATATCATTTAATCCAAGCAGGTGAAGGTATAGTTTACATGAAGGTATCGGTTAGAAACCGTAGAAAGGTTGTCATCAAAAATAGTTGTCATTAATCAAATGACTTCTTCTGGCTCGCAAATTCAGTGAACGGTATTGAAATCAATCAGTCGAAAGCTTTTTTCTGGCAACAGAGGTATGTATCATATTTTCATTCATTAACTTCCAGCAATTCAGTATCAGTTCCACAGATCGCCATTAAAATAAAAATGTATCATTTATTTTGAAAATCAGTGATACTTAACAAGGTAATACCCTTTACAACATGACAAGTTGCTTAGTGGTAAACATCTCCTTCTTTAAAGATACAATTTTTGACCTTTTTAACATCAACATGAGAAATGTCATTGAAAATCTTGCTGCCCTGTAGTGGGAAATAAAAAAATTAATTGACATAATGCTGTGAAAGAAGTGATTAAGTTTTACACCATGTTGAGTACAGCAAGGAAGCTCACCCTCACTTGGGAATTTCATGATCATATTTGTCCTTAATAAATGGAATTCTTTGGGTAACCACCTTCCAGTCAGTAAGAAACAAAAAAGCAACTCCCAGTCCAGCTGTCCATGCTCCTGCTGTTGGAATCCTATAAATTGCAGTAATAGTTGTAAACCAATATGGCTGAACATATAATACGTAAACTAAACGCAAAGCACCAACGTGAACCAGAAACAACACAGCATTTCTTTTATGATTACTCATACTCAATTTTCTTTCTGGAAAGATTTGTAATCATATTGCTTATCTTTGACAAAACAGCAGATCTATACATCTTAATTTGAAGGATATTTTAATCACTGTTCTAACACCAGAACGCCCCTTACTTTATTACCTGTTCCTTTTAGGAAAAAATTACTTATGGGGGTGTAGAAGAAATAAGGAACTTCCAGATATACGAGGTTTTAAATTCAAAGAAAAATTAGTTAAAAGTACCAGACAGAGAAATACATTTGAACAAAAAGTAATAACTAAGATATATTTAGAAGAAATGGGCAATGTAGATACTGAGACGTAGTTGGGTGACATAGAATATATCAGGCTAAAATGGGAGTGACTTTACCGTGTAATTTATGTAGGTGAGTGTGTGGGTAACTAAGTGAGTGAGTGAGTGAGTTAATGTGGAAACTGAAGTAATATAATTAATGTAAGTTATGTGTTACAAAGTATTGTTAGTGATGAAAGTAATTGGCCCTGAAAGTAAAGTAAGCAATTATGTGTTTTGCAAATAAGAAAATAAAAAAAGAGACAGGATTTAGGGACAAGGCATTAACCCACTGATCATGCATGCACCAGGCATTAGCAGTGATATCAGGCAAACACCATCTCCTACTAAGGGATGATTGGTTGACCTTCTCATCCACATGTTCTATGAACACCACCACCAATCTTCCTCTTCCTCTGTTCTAATATATGATCATTCATATATTTCCTTGTAAAAACAATCATAGTTTGTCATCTGCGTATGTTTTATTTCAAACTCTCTGATCCTGAATTTCACAAGTAATGCAGCATGCTTGATCTTTCACCTTCTAACTCAATAACTGACCACTTGTACCATTCCAACCCACAGTGCCAAAGGAGGAGATTGTACTCAGGCCAACCAGTCTGAGTGTAACTTAATTACCTTCAAACTCTAGATGGAAAAACTTAATCAAATACTTAATAAACTTAAACGTGGACCTGCCGTGACTTTGGTGTGATGAAAATAAAGTCAACTTTCTCTAAGAGGGACACTCAGAACTGACCCCAACTGTGTGTCCAAGAGATGTGTCCAGATTACAGAGGGTCAATGTAATGTGACAACAGTAATAGGCCTCTTGAAACAGTTGGTCATGTGACTTGCTTTTCAAGACAGGCCTTCTGACAGTGAGTGGGGGTGTGGGAACTGCACAATTTGGTGAAACCCACACGATATTGCACATTTCTCCAAAACCCGGAAAATTCCACACAATACTTTAGGATTTGCTTAAATATTTAAATATAACAGCTTTCTTATTGGTTTCAGAGATTCTTATGACCTTTTCGGGCTATTTAACTTTTAACACAAACAGGAACTCTCTTACTCAAGTACTCGAGTGGATATAATAACAACAAGGCATCAAATTATATTTGCATGTAAATTTGCACATTAAACTCGTGTTGTATTTTTTGCTAATAACTTCCAAGAATTTGCAAACCTTAATGCAGTTTATGACGAAATATTCAAGCTACATATTTTAACAAGTATGAGTGACACGAATGTTTGACTTACTGGGGAGATGACAGCAAAAATGTAACAGGCACCGTGAAAGCTTTAAGAAAAAGATGAAAACAACTGATTTAACTTTTACTACGATTTTCAGTTGAGTAAGGCACATGGAAGTTTGGTTACGAAGTTTTGGCCTTAAAATTATGGTGTTGTCACGGGCAACTTACCTCGTTTCTGTTGGTAACAATATCAACAGCCGTTGGTTGCCTGTCGCGTCGCCTACAATTTCTCGCGCTTTGCTGCCAATGACGTCAAAGGCCGACAAGTTGTCAATGGATGCGGAGCCAGTTGCTCATGACAAAAACACGATTTTTACGTTAAAACTTGGTGACCAAACTTTTGTCCCGCCTTACTCAACTGATAATCATAGTAAAACAGAGCTCAACATTGCAACTGCTGGGGTCGCCAATGCAACTCTAGAGATCTTTTTCACTGGCACCTAACTTTTCACACTTGGTCACCATGCAGGCCTCTAAGATATCTTTAGTTTCATACTCATTGGAATGAAGTGATTGGAATGAAAGTTGAATACCAAACTATACTTCTTGTTTTCATGCACATACTGTAGCCCTTGAAACTGTGTTCTTATTGTGAAAATAATACACAGTGACTTTAAGACATAAAGTGAAATCAACGTCATTAACAACATTCTGTATGCGTACCTAAGATTTTTGTGAAAAGTGTAGTTTGTACTGTTGGAAAGCTAAGCACATGTAATAGATTTTGGTTAGAAGCAAAAAGCATATACAACTTTTACATGTGTAAACAACAGCTGAGCTTAACAAGCTGCTGCCATTAGGAAGAAAAAACAGAACAAAAAAACAACATAGCAGGTTACACGAATAAGGGGTTCAAATCTACAGGCATGTTTTTGTTAGTCTGAAATTGGTGTCAGTCTGAAATTGTTGTTCTGGCTATTAAAACATGTTCTTTTGTGCGCTTAAAAATTATGATAATAAAGCTGAATTAATAACTTGTATTAGACCATCAAGATAGGAGCTGTCAAATAAGCAACTGGTGTTAAACAAGGAGTCATGAATTTCGGTAAGTGATACACATTTTGTGTTCCCAAATCTTAAGTTGCTGCAACATTTGACAGTACATTTCCATTTTGAAGAATATTTCACCCAAAAAAGAACTTCTCAAGTGTCCCCTTGTCCAGCTCAGCTTGTTCGTCTTGTAGGTTTGCCTATCTTATAGATATGTCTGTCAAGATAGAGTTGACTGTATTATCTTGTTGATGCAGAATGGTTCACAGTACACGAGGGAAAGGAAAATCACATTAATCTCTTATTTAGGGTAGCTTTTTCTGTCTTCTGTGAACAGCTTTTTCTTCCACTCTTTCAGAAGCTTTTAGTAGGGCAAATGTGCATATAGTTAGTATCACTATTGAACAAAACAGTGTTGAATGTGTGTACCCCTCATTTGATTATAGATTTTGACTGTTTTGCAGCATTCTCAGGTACAGTAAATATAAATATGAAACTTATAATCTATACCAGTCCAGGCATTGGTTGCTGTAGAACGGTAAATTTAGATGCAATTTGATTTGGAATATGTATCACTTTAACAACAACAAATATAATCTTTGTTTTTCTTTCATTTTAAAATTACAGTACATGTTATTTGACCTGCACATAGCAAGTGCTAATCTAGGCGGGCAACCTTCAAAACTTATTTTGCCTTGTTAAAGCTCATAAAGAAAACAGCAAGCAGCTGTATGGAATTTATCATTGCTCCTGACGTATGAAATACAGCATTTGATACAGTGCCCTTATAGAAACAAGTGTGAAGCAAAATAGATCAGAAAATTGATAATCAACAGAAAACAACAAATGAACAAACGTCATGAACTGTAGTGGTCGTGTGGGACTAACACCCTCATTTTATTCTGTTCGGACAGCATATACGGTAAGAAATCGAGTGGTTGCAAACTTTCGATCAAGCAATGGTTCTCTCGTTTCTTCCCTCGGAGAAACACTCGGAGAAAGAAAATGGACCTGCTCGATACAATATATCTGGTTGCTCACGATTAAAACGAAGTCATTAACTTATTTATTAAATGGAAAATACTTACCAGTTTTTTCCAGCTTTTGCGTAGAACTTATATCGTCCCAAACTCTGAAAAAGTTCCTTCATCGTGATCTCTACAATATGAGTATGGCAGCCTGTAAGGTAGTGCGCGACGCCAGACCCTTCGCTTTCTTGACCATTCTCGTCCCCAGTGCTACTCGTCTTAAAACAAAAGAAACGGAGGCTCTGGGGACGAGAATGATGCCGTACCTCGAGTCTTCGTTCCTTACTGCGCATGCTGGCTTGACGAAACAAGCGACCGCTGGTCAAAGGAAACGAAGACGCTGGGTACGAGGATGGAGTATTGAAACTGGTGCGCCACCTGCGCAACACGAAGAATACAGTAGTTCGACAATCAGCACTTTGATATAACTGCTGTACAAAATTACTGGCGTAGCTGGCGGGATCGAGATCGGGAAAAGTGTCTGAGAGAGGTGTGCCGTTCTAAGTAGGAGTATGGCTCTGGATAGTAGTAAAGGGCAAGCAGCGCCCACTCTATGGTTGTCTTTCAACGCCGCTTTCAAAGAGCATTTTAGAATTACAAAGTTCATCATGGAAGCAGGTATGTACCGGTAGAATAAGTCAGCAAGCAAAGTGCGCTGGCCAGTTGCGCAAATGTGACCCTGATATCAGTAAATTTTTCATTCCTACGTGACCTGTGCATACTGCTGTCAAAAATCCTGGTTAAAAAAAGCTGGTTAACGCTATCCCAGGATTAAAAGTTAACCGAAGTATCAATTTTTGTTGTGTAAAAATGTTTTTCACTGCTTATGTTTTGTGTGGTTCGAGATTACGCAAGCTCAAAGCTGAAGGATAAATGATATAAAACAGAAAACCTCACGGAAAAACTATAAAACTGAAATGAAAATTCTTGCTAAATTATCCTGGATTAGCTTAAGGATGGTGCCTACTTTTGTTAGTGCGCACACGTTCTGCGCATCACGCAAGGCATGGTTTAAACGCCACGCGCGCACTGGGTTGACATGACGCAATCAACTACGCTACCAAGTACCTGACTAAATTGAAAGCAAAATTTTCCTACTCTGACCAAATCAAGTTTAATGAACCTGTTCTTAAACCAGGAACACCAGAACAGCAGCATATCGCTAACCACTAACTGTTAACATCTTCCAGCTGAAAAACTAGCCGTTATCTCTCGAAAATTGTACTGAAATCCAACTGTAAACATGTACCTGCAGATGGCGTAGTGCGGGGGCAAAACAAGTGCGAGATACGCAAATGTTTTACTTACTGGGGAGGTGACAGGAAAAAATGTAACAGGCACTGTCCGCCATTTTGAAACATTTGAAGGCGGGAACTGAGTGCGCATGCTCAGCGGTTTTTGAGACCTGTCAACGGGAGTCTGATCTAAGGGGGTTAACCGCAGCCCAACATGACTGATCGATCTTTCTCGACGATTGCAACGAAATCACACGGGAAACGTAAGGCCAGAAATATTCAGACTTCAACTTTTGCTAAATACAGTCTGGAATCAGTTGTACAAAATACCTTTCAGAAACACGACAGTTTTATGATCGAATACTTGCAGAAAATTGGCCGCGAACTCGGGGTTCTTGCCGCGTTTTGGAAATGAATTATCGTGCTTCGTGAAATTTCTTCAGTTGAAACGAGAAAAGTTTTGCTAAAACCCATTTTAGCTCCGAAAAAGAAGTTTTTAAAATGGATGTGACGGTTCTTTGGCTGAAGTGGAAGATTGAAATGCACTTCGCCAAAAATATTTCTTTGATCTCAATATTAATTAGAGGGGGACATGGGGATTTGCGGTGTTGCGGTGTTGATGTTTTTTTTAATGCGGTGATGCGGTGAATAAAATCTCAACTTGCGGTCTTGCGGTGATCTGAAACCCTACGGTGTGCGATGTTTGTGCTTTTCACGTGCGGCGTTCGGTGAAATGAAACTGTTTGCAGTGCTGGGGTTTTTGATTTACCTTTCTCAAACCCAAATTTGACCTAAATTTAGCATGTAAACTTCGTTAATCGAAGCTAATTTTTGACAGATACGTACCATTGAGGTTAATAATTTATAAAAAAAAAAAAAATACAGGCCATCACCTTCTAGTCAATCTTCAATAAGCTTCGGCGGCTATCTTTAAAACGGAGAACAAAGAATCGGGGAATAGGAGAATCGGGGAAT